ACTTGATTTACGAACAAATATATCAAAATTTTCGCCTTTGAGTGAGAATATAGACCAACTCTATATGAATATATATAGCAAGGCTGTTATGACAGCAATTAGAATCAACACGAGTTAAGAACCCTTATTTTAAAACCTTCTTAAAGTTCTTAAAGTATCAGAGGCATTTGGCCGTACCAATGGATTACTCTGCCATAAACGTTCAATCAAGTTCTCATACTCTTGGAGTGTGCGATTATCGGTKGAAGGTACTCTTGGACGTAAATTATATGCCACAACGCCAAATACAACTACATAAAGATTTTCAGAACCATAWGGCTGTTCTCTTGTTAGTAACTGCCATAGGCAAATCCCCATTGAATACATATCAGCTTGTGTTGTTGGTRTTTCACCCTTCAATAGTTCGGGTGCGCGGTAAGCAAAAGTCCCTGTTAAATATGAATAGGTTGGACTAGCAGGTAGATTCTCATCTCCCTCAACAACAATTTGACTACATCCAAAATCCCCTAATTTGCAAACATCATGATCATCTACCAATATATTAGCTGGTTTGACGTCCAAATGGGCAATCTCTCTCTGATGTATAAATTCTAAAGCACTTGCTAAGTGTAGACCGAAATTCAGCCTTCGTCTCTCATYAATAAGTTCCTTTTCGTCATTTATGATATTTCGTAATGTCTTGGTCCCCGCAAACTCCATGACTATCAATCGACTGCTCAATGGCAGTTCCGTGGAGGACGCAGCTAGTGTTTTAATGATGTTAGGATGAGAAAATGACATTATTGTAGTCTCGGCTTGAAAACTTTGCAACATTGCCCTAGGACTTCTGGAGTTTGCGTGGAGCTTTTTAACGGCAACTTTTTTTCCTCTGTACTTCCCCTCATAAACAGTACCAAAACCACCACTTCCAAGCACTTTTCCTACATGTACTAAAGCTCTTTCATCGTCAGACAAGATCTCAATGTCTTGAACAAAAGCCTGTCTATCTTCACCCTTTGTATTCCATAGCTCCTTAMYTGGACTACGATGCTCCAGAAAATCACTTCTGAGCATTTTCCTCGCAAAAAACACAGCCTCAATCAGCGAGCTTTAGTACAATAACTGATTTAGMTTYCTCGCTTTGTTAGAGCGTGGGAATTCTTTGAAGGCCAGCTTCTTTTTGGGGTATTTTTCTTTCTTTCCTTGAAGTCGCCTGCAACTTCCACTGAAAGAAATGAAATACTGAGTTCAGCTGATGTTGAACAAGAGAGGCAGCTGGTAAGAGTGACATTTAAATCAACAGCCAATCAGAGCGCGTCTGGTGAGTGTTTGCAGTTTGTCACCCGTAGAAAGCGTGACATGTAAATCGCTCTTCCCTGCACAACTCAAAAGCGTGCAAGCTCACATGCTTTAAGTARTACGCATTCGCGTTAACGCTCCCTGATTGAAAACCAGATAATTTTCTAATATTCCAATGAGAAAAACACAAAKTTTKGSTCCAAGGCAACGACGCTTTGACATGAAATAATGTTATGTCACGAGACCTGAAGGAACCTGTTATATGATTCATTGTTTAATATTATGGACGAAAAAAATGTCAACAAAGAAATTATTGCTGTGA